GGGAGCGCGGCCGGGGGTGGGGGGCCCGCTGGCGTGCGGTTCGGGATTTCAAGGCCCGGGTGTCTGAGGCACGATGTATGTCTCTCGCAGTTTAAGCAGATTTCCCAAGCCTATGAAGTACTATCAGACCCAAAGAAGAGGGATCTGTATGACAAAGGAGGCGAGCAGGCCATCAAAGAGGGTGGCTCAGGTGGTGGTTTCGGGTCACCCATGGACATATTCGATATGTTCTTTGGCGGCGGTGGGAGGATGCAGAGAGAGAGACGAGGTAACCTGCCATCTTCTGATTGTTTCCCAGACTTTACAGCGTGACTGCTCTGGTAGACAGGATCAGAGACTATGAGGATAATGCCGTAGATATAAGACTTTAAATAGTGTTAAAATAAGGTTACAGGCTTGATCTCAAAATCGGAGAAAACGTTGTACCTAGCCTTTAACGGGGAGACGAGTCGGGGGAGGGCATTTGGTTCATACAGTGGTAGTTTGGTCTCTTGTGCATTGTTACATGTTAATAGCTAACCAGATTTCGTGTTGGGAAAGTCTTTAGCCCGACGTAAAGCCAGCTCCTAATAGGCTGAATAGGAAATGGAACGGCAGTGTAACTTAAAATCGTTTTTTTAACGTGGCTACCCTAAACGTGGTGTCTAAATGTGATCAGTAACTATACCTAAATAGGACAGCCAAATCAAATTCAGTCTGTGAAAACTTTTTGTTTTCCTGTGCTATTCTGTGGAATTGAGTTCAAGCTGCAGTAAAGTGCTGCTCAGAAATTAAAGTCCAGACTAATCACACTGGGAAAGACCGTAGTGTTAATTAAACTGGTTGAGAGTAGTGCTGACCTCATCACTTCTTAGTGTGGACTTGGTGACAAAGGGAAGTAAAAAGAGTTTGTATCAAAATGTTGCAGTGTTGTATCAAAGTATTCCTAGTAAGCCAAAACTTTGCTCCTTCACAAAATTAAGCCTGCAGTAGCTAAAGTTATAATTAATTCCTGAGTGTAAAAATTTAATTACGCAATTCGCTTTCCAGAAAGTCCCCTGGTGAGAGGAAGAGAATACTTTGCTGACTCTAGACGATGTCTTCCAATTCCTTGGAGATAGGTTGTTAAAACTGAAGTCCTGCTGTTATAAAACTTAAATGTCTAAGGTTCTACATATTTCTGCTTCTGTTACAGGTTGTGCTTTTACAGAATAATATCTTGACTTATTCTAAAAGACAAGTGTTACTGACAAAGCCATTAGAATTGTTACCTAATTTGACATGATAAGAAGGGGCTATTGACTAATACCAGGAAAATGAGTTAAAGCTGTATTAAAACAGGATGTTAAAGCTCATAGACTTGGTTTATTGTGACTTGAGCATAGTGACATGGGAAGTTTACTCTTACTTAGAGGCCAAGCTTTCAAACTTGAGTAAATATCCATTTTTTTTTTTTACAGGCAAAAATGTGGTCCATCAGTTGTCAGTAAGTTTGGAAGATATGTACAATGGTGCAACAAGGAAACTTGCACTGCAGAAGAATGTTATCTGTGATAAATGTGAAGGTATCTGTGAAACTGAAACTAAACACAAGTTGCTTCTACAGCTTTCAGAGTTTTTTTCTGGCAGCGCTAACCATCTGTCTCCAACTTTCATTCTCCTCAGGTCGTGGTGGTAAGAAAGGTGCGGTAGAATGCTGTCCTAATTGCAGAGGAACAGGCATGCAGATCAGAATTCACCAGATTGGGCCAGGAATGGTGCAACAAATCCAGTCTGTCTGTATGGAATGTCAGGGGCACGGGGAACGTATCAGCCCCAAGGACCGGTGTAAGAGCTGTACTGGCAGAAAAATTGTTAGAGAGAAGAAGATACTAGAAGTTCACATTGACAAAGGTGAGGTGTCTTACTAAGGTGAAGTATTGAACTTGGATGTACTGACTGACTTTGCAGCACTCAAACAGAAGCTTTAGCAAATGCATGGTGTTGATTTGGTGAGTAACACCACTGAGTGCACGTACAGTAAAATTGCATGGTATTGGCTTTAAAAAGTAGGACACTTGTTTTTAGGGAAGGTTGATTACTTCTACATCGCATCTAATACCTGTGCACGTAACTAAAAATGAATTCTGAAACCTGCAGTATTGTAAGTGGTGAATTATTTTTGAGCAACCTCATAAGCGTGAATCTTGATCAGATAGCTGGACTGATTAAAATAAAACTCATCACTTGTGCCTTAGCTTACCTAATGAGTTTTCCCTGCCTGTAAGGAAACCGTGCAGACTCCGATCACTTCTACTGTGTTTCAGTGTGAAGGGGAACCAGGTCTGCTATAGTAATGGGGTGCAGAGACAGTGCTAAGCCTCTCATGCTTAGAACTCTTTCCTATGCAACCCTGACAGTGCTGCTCAGCACAGGTACTCTTTGCCTGGCAAAATGCAACAGCACAATGGTGTTGAGTGACAAGCGCATCTCCATTGAGGAGGCCGCTCAAAAGCTGGCGGAGAAGTCTGGAGCAGTGCAGCTTGTAAGATAGAGCAAGCTGACAAGCACATGGCTTCTACAGACTTTGCCTGATTATCACCTGCAACTGTTGTATGCATAAGCATACCTTACGCAATGCCTGGATTTGTTTTTAACGGGAAAGTTGTACAGTAACATTAAATATGAGGGCTAATAGGGATATATTACTGACATTTCAAACAGGGAAATCACTGAGAAGAGTTTCTCTTTCTTACAGAAAAACAAGACTGTGAGCTAGCATGAGGCAGCTAGAATTTATGGTAGAGAGACTTATGTGGGGGTGAAATGGGTTTCTTAAATGACAGTTGTGGTCCTAGGGAGAAGGCTTCTTGCACTCAGCAGGCACTGAGCTCATGTTTCATAAGTAGCTCTGCCATGTATATTTATAAAACTGAAGAAGCTCATTGGTCACTTGCTCTCAAAATGTATTTTGTATGCAGTGTTTCTGTTTTCTTTTTAGTACTTGTGCTGATAATATTTCCCTTAAGGACTTTATCTTGGCAGGTGGCTGTTTTGCACTACGGTTAGTGATCTTGCAACATAGTTCAGGTTGGCACTGTTAAAATCTGTTGGACATGTGGATTAAAAAAAAATGAATGCTTCAAGGGAAGGTCCTGGTGTTCTAATTTAAAATGCGGAGATCTCCTGGTACCAGCTTGTGCCTATAAAAATATTTCTTATTGCTGCTTTTCACTTAAAAAATGAGAAATGTTTGTTTTCTGCAATAGGAATGAAGGATGGTCAGAAAATAACATTCCATGGTGAAGGGGACCAAGAGCCAGGACTAGAGCCAGGGGACATTATAATAGTCTTGGATCAAAAAGACCACTCTGTATTTACAAGGTAAAACACTCCTGAAGTCCTTGGTGTTAACTCCTGAGATGCTTGTCCACATGCTTCCTTGGTTACCACTCACCTTTTATCTGCTGGAAATACTGGTAGCTAGGATCATGTGGCTAGAACTCACCTGTGAGTTTGGGTGGCCAAAGGAGCACTGAGGTGCACAGGAATCCTGGTACAACTAGTCACAGCCACTTGTGTTCTAGTAGCACAAGGTATTCTTTTGTGAGCTTTGGCAGTGGAAGGGGACAGAAGGGAAACAAAACCAGTTACAGTTACTAAGAGTTTACAAGTCTTGAATTTTAAGAACTCTTAAAATACTCAGATTTTGTTTAATAGTTGTGAATATTTGTGATTATTTCCTTGCTTTTTCTAGGATAGCATTTCATCACTTATCTCCGAAAATTACCATTTAGTGTAGGCAGCTGTTCATTGCACACTTCAAGGCACAAAAAACTTGCAGTGTGTTTACTTTTGCTCAGGGATCTTACTTATGATGAACTTAGTGATTATAGCATGCACACATGAGACCAAAGGTGGTTTCCCACACTTCATCCTGCCTGAGTGCACTAGGCAGGGTAATCAGTCCTGTCTGTTACTGCAAAAGTGACTCAAGCAGCATTGACTATATCTCAAGTATTTTGTGATACTGGACAGTACTGCTTTGTCTTGCAAGCCTTCTTGTTTCAAGTTACTGTTTGTGGAGTGAGTCTGTCCAGCATGTTTTGGTCCAATGAAACGCAACACAGGTCATCTTGCAGAATTGTGTTGCACTTAGTGTCTCACTGCTTCTGTTCAGAGCAGTAATTAGGGAATCAATGGATTTAGAGAAAGCATTTGTTTCAATGCTAGCCACTGGGATTGTACTTGTAAATAGAAGTGGTGAGTGAAAGGTTCTTGGGAAACCTGCAGCTGGTCTGCCTTACTGGCCTGTATAGTGCTGAGCTCTGGAAGTTGCTACCAGAACTCTGTGCTGAAGAACACTGAGCTCACAGGCTAATAATCAGTTCTGTTCCATTTGGATAAGCTTACTCACTGATTTTTCCTTAACTTCCAGTGAAACCAGATACTGAATCAGCTATGCCATAGGGACAGTCTGAGCCAAACTGCATGGTTACCTGTGACTTCACACCTCTGCTGGCTTATTTTTGTCCACTTTTCTGCCCTCTGCCTTCAGTTGTAGTGTGCTTACATAACCCTTGATATTACTGGTCTTGTGGGGTTATGCTGAGGTCATGCTGCTCTGGGACAAGTGGAATGTTCCCCCTCTCCTGTCAGAATCTAAAATTAACTTTTCAGGCAAGCCTCCTTCCAGAGACCTTTAAAACAGATTGAGTGAAATAACTAAGTTCTTTGAATAGGCTGGAGGATTTTGTAGCTTTTGAACATGCAGCGCATGCAGACATCACTAGCACTCCCATGCTGAAATCAGAATAGGCAAGTAAAACAATTACATTATCTCTTCCACATAGTTCTTGGTGCTTTCTAGAGAGTAATTTCATCATAACCCAGAGTGGCCATCACCTGTTCAAACTTCCCTAGTACCAGATCTTCAGAAAGTGAGTGTAACAGAATAATGTAAAGCTAGCTGGTGCACTTAAAGTATCAGTCTGCATAAAGGAAGGGATTAATTGTCGTAGCTGCAATGTTTAGGAGGCTATGGGATTTTCCTAGAATTGGGAAGAAGCAGTGAAGTGAAAGAATGCAAGTGAGCCTTGCTGTACTTATTTCTCTTCAGTAAATACTTTTACACTTTGGATAGCTAGACTTGATCAGTAATGGCTCTCAGCGTGGGTACTGTTCCTGTAATTGCTGGTTTGAGGTGCCGCATCGATATTCAGTACTCTTTAGGTCTTCGGGCTTCTATTAAAATTACAGCTTTATTGTCCTTGCCAAGTTAAATACTGAATTTGGGTATGATCCTTTTCCTCCTTCTCCCTTGCTGTGACTGTTTTTGATTGATTCTGCCTTAGACGAGATGAAGACCTTCTTATGTCTATGGATATTCAACTGGTTGAAGCACTATGTGGCTTTCGAAAGCCTATCACCACGCTGGATAACAGAACTATTATTGTTACCTCCCATCCTGGTAAGCGTTGGTTTGCTTTGTGCTAGAAGTCCAAGCATACAGTGTACGTAAGCTGGAAATTTAAAGGAACAGAAACATCCCATCTTGATGTACAAGGGGGGATGTGCGCTGGGATCAAGCTTTTTCCTCTAGTCTTTGCAGTACAAATCTTTAAACAAAAAAGAATTTTTGGATAGCAGTCAGCAGTAACTTTCTCTTTGCGTGATATAGTAACAGACCTTACCTCATGGACATACTTGTATCCTGAGGATACCTCATGAGAATTGAAGGCCGTGGGTCTCTGAAAACCACTTTTTCAGCCTTGGAACTGATGGAGCACTTAATAAATTTGTAAGTATGCTTCCTTTGGGAAGCATAACAAGGTTACAACAATGTAATGTAGACGTCATCCTGCTTTCCTACTCAGAAGTTACCAGGCAGTAAGTCCCTATTAGACTACTACCTATTGGTGTAGCTGTCTAACACAATATAAAAGGTTACATAAATATTGAAGGGAGTTAAAACTAAAGCTGCTTCTGTTGCCTGCATGGATCACTTCCTTCTTTTTTTTTTTGTTTTGTTTTATTTTTTAGGCCAGGTTGTAAAGCATGGGGCTATTAAGTGTGTGTTGAATGAAGGCATGCCAATTTATCGCAGACCATATGAAAAAGGACGTCTGATCATAGAATTCAGGGTAAGTGGATCAACTTACTTCCATGACACAGCTCAGCACTGAATATCCATCCAAAATTTAACCTCTAAGCATTACCTCAATCAAGAAGAGATACCAATTATCAAATGTCCTGATTTGGTATTTGTTTTTGACAATGGTGAGAACATGTAGTCCATCAAACAGAATTGCAGTTCAGAACAAAGAGAAAACTTCCGTAACACTCTGTTCTGAAAGTACTTTAAGTACCAGCATAATTTCTTCAGCGACCTTGTGAATTTTCATTTGCCTGGCATGTTCTTCAGTTTCTGTCATGCTGTAGGAAGGATGGATTAGTAACTCCCCTTATGCTGGAGCAAAGGAGTAGGCTGGAAAATGCTGATTTCTCACTGGAGAGAAGCTAATGCTGGGAGCTGTGGGCGCCAGCTCTGTCTGCTACAGTTTCAGAGGAGATTCAGCCATATCTCTAATGTTGATATATCCTGTGCTTTGCTTCTAGGGTGATTCCAGGGGGCAGCCTGATGCAGAAGAAATGTTGGATAAGACTTGGTTAAGTTTCCAGAGTTAGAAGCTAACTTTTTGTAGGCATTGAGTCACTAAGCTATTTTTTTAGGTGTTTTTTAAGCACTGTGTTCGTCATCTGTGATGGTAAAGCTGACTTCGGTACATATTTGACCTCTAGTGGGATGGCAAAAGGCCAATTCAGGCAGACTTGAGTAACCTCAGTTCTTGATGATTTCAGGTGAACTTCCCAGAGAGTGGCTTCCTCTCCTCAGATAAGCTGTCTTTACTTGAAAAACTGCTACCTACAAGGCAGGAAATTGAAGAAACTGAGGAAATGGAACAAGTGGATTTAGTGGACTTTGATCCATCTCAAAAAAGAAAACATCACTATAATGGAGAAGTCTATGAAGATGATGAGCATCACCCTAGAGGCGGTGTTCAATGTCAGACATCATAAATTGGCCAGTGAATAACTTGTGATGCTTGTTTTGTATGCATTAGTGGATGATTGAAGGACTACAAGCAGTTCACCCTCAGTTCCTACTATTTGTTGTTCTATCCAGCCATAGTCATTTCTAAAAACAAAGAAATAAACTAAGTAATTAAACTGACTTTGCAATTTGTATAAAGCTCCAGGATGCTCAAATGAAGGCAATTGCACTTGACCCCTGCGTTTTGGTCAAGGAAACTCCCTTACCTGCTTGTCTTTTATTCCAAGCCTTGTAATTCCTGTATGTGTGCAATTGCCTGGGCTTAAACTAAGATTCTGTGGTATTCTTTTTAGGAATTCTAGATCTTACACTCTGTTAACAAAGTATGCACAAGTACTTAAAATACATGGTAAGATACAGTTAAGTTTTGTACCAGTTAGGATAACATGGTAATGTTTTGGGGATTGTACTGGTGTTTGTTAAATGGGGACTGGTTCTAATGCAGCCACATTATACATGAAGCTGACAAGGATGTGGTCAATCTTCACAGGCCTGTTGAAGTCATGCAATCCACAAGCTCTCTGAAGCTACTGCACTTGAGGTCAAATAGTCCCTTCCTCTCGCAGCTTTGGTCCTGACCCTGGAGCTAGATCTGACTGCTGTTTGGCTGCTGTCCTGCAACATACTGCGCATAGAGCCAGTGGTTGCTTGGCTGCTGCAGGAGCTTCCTTCACTACTGTGCTGGAGTAAAAACCTCCAGGCTTTATCAGCGCACGTGTGGTTGGGAATCTGTCAGCCTGCTGGCATGTGAAGCTTGACTTCCACCTTGATTGCTGAAAGCAGATACCCCTCCATGGTGTGTCATGGAGAGCAGTACCAGCCCTGCCTGTGGGCATGTGAACCTGCAGAGGGGATGAACTGTTGGTGAATACAACCAACTGATGCATCTAGGATGTTCTGAAATTAATGTATTGTGTGCGTTATTTCAAGCTGACTCTTGAAAATTCTGTATGAATGTTCTAATTATTGTAGATGAAGCATTTCCAATATAATTACAAAATTGTTTGTTGCCTCTTTTCTTAGACCAGATGTTGGTTTAAAGATACCACCCCCTTCATTTTAGACAGCTATTCACAGAAAAATCTTAGCAAAAAACTTCTTTCAGAAAATATGCTGAGAAGACAGGTCCAGATTTAACCTCTAGTGTGGTAGTTTAGTCTTGTTCTGCCATCTGTCTTGGGACAGAGCTTATTGCTTTTCATACTGCTTTGAAGCAAAAGCGTCATGAAGAGAACTTGTTTTTTCTTCCTGGAAATAGCTGCTCCATGGTGGTACACGTGTTGTAACTTTAATATCTGGAAACTTAGTCTTAGAAAACATCTAGCTCTTGTAAGTGTTAAGTGTTTCATTTTCTAGAACACTGGTAGTGTGATTTTTGTACCTCAAGTGTAGTTCCCTTTTGGGTACCTACAGAATACTGATCCAGTGCATGTTTTGCCTTTTTTTTTTTTTTTCCTGTTTGTCTCAGCAGCAATAAAATTATGTGGGCAAAGTGTCTTTTCAAATTCTACTTGAATGAGCTCATCAGTGAAGTGTACAAGTGTGACCAGCAGGAGCCTTTGCTCTGTCACCAGTTCAGTTTGGCTGAGTCAAGGGGAGAAAACCAAGTAATCCTACCTCTGGCTAGGGCTGAGACTCCTGCACAACTGTCTTGAGACTGAGCAGCACTAAAATACACTACCTGTTTTCAGTTCAGTGAGCACCCTTGGGGCTTTTTCCTTAACCACTGGATCAAAACAGCTAGGGCAAACAAAGCTCAGTGCAGTGCTTTGAGGATGACAACAGGACGTTACGTTACTTCAGATTACTCTGTATTATATAGAAAACAATTCCATAGCCTTTTTTTTTTTCCCCAGGGACAGTTTAGTTTTCCTTTCACTGTACCCATTACCATTGAGGTGATGCTTCTGTTCTTGACTTACTCTGACGACCGTGATGGCCAGTTCTTCATGCTGGATGACACCACAGCAAGTCCAGAGGATGGGCCAGATCCTTCCAGGAAGGTGGCTGACCAGAAGCCTTGGCAGAGCAGCCCAAGGAAAGATGCTATTGCTAATGCAGGAAGGGCAGCAGAAACACCACCAGTTTAGCGTTCTGCTTTGAAATGAGCTGGTGGCTAACATAAAAGCTGTGTCCCAAAAAAATACAATGGCAGCAGTAGAGCAACCTTTCAGCAAACAGCACTAGCAAATGAAGGCAAGAGCTGGCAAGGAGGACCCAGCCCTTAGACCTTCAAGCGTGATGCTGAGAACAATATGTGGCCTCTTCCAAGTTTCTTAGTTCTCCCCAATATTCTGGGTATCATACAGCTACAGCAAGCAGCAAAACATGCTCTGCCACTGCAAAGTGAAGTAAGACAATTTTTTCTGTTGTCTTTTTGCTCTATGTGGGGGACAGTTTCCCATTTTGGGGAACGTACAGAATGGACAGCTGTAGAAATTGAGGATAAAGTAGCACAAAATAGTTGCTTCCATAACTACCAGCATAGTAATCAACTTACAATAGCCTGAGTTGATGTTTGCAATTACTTCGTGTTTCAGTTTCAATACCAAATTCACATCATCAAGCTCATAGTCTAGTCTATTACAATGATTCTTTCCACTGTGTGCCAGGCATGTAGGGCTTGTTTTTTTTCCCCAGAAATCTAGCAGCTCCGCTATGCCACAGGTTTGCTGTGAAACTGAGAACGCCCACTGCAGACTCATTTAAGAGCCTGCTCTCATTTTTGTTTCTGCCTGTAAGACTTCATGGCCCTAGCTGTCCTCTCTTCCCTGTGCTTTGCCTACCTGCTACCCAGCAGCCATGCAAGAAGTTTGCTCAGCCCAGGGGTGTAAACTGCTTTGAACTTAGAGTGTGACACAAGGTCAAGCAAGCAAGCGGCTTGCCCTATAACTTTTTCATCAGCAACTTCATCTGGGAAAGACATGTTCTTGCTTCCATTTGTGATTGATCGGTGCTCAGGGCATTAGTAAGGCACACTGAGAGAAGCAAGGTTTGATTCAAGCCATCCTTTTTCAAAACCACAGATGAAGAAATGCCAGGTTCCATGTTTTCTTAGGAGGTAAGATGAGCACTGTTATAGTGCCCCAAAAATGGGAGACTTCAACCACTCTGATATCTGCTGGCAGGACAACACAGCAGGACATAATCAGTCCAGGAGGTTCCTGGAGTGCACCAGTGAGAACTTCCTGACCCATCTGATAGAGGAGCCGGTGTGGATAGGGCTCTGCTGGACCTCGTACTCACCAACAAGGGGCTTGTTGGGACTGTGAAGGTCAAAGGCAGTCTTGGCTGCAGTGACCATGAGATGGTGAAGTTCAGGATCCTGAGAGCAAGGAGGAGGGTAAAAAGCAAGCTCTCAACCCTGGACTTCAGGAGAGCAGACTCTGATCTCTTCAGAGGTCTGCTTGGAAGCCTCCCTGGCATGAAGAAAAGCCCAAGAAAGCTGGTTAATATTCAAGGCTCTCCTCCTCCAGGGTCAAGAGCAGCCTATCCCAGTGAACAAGAAGTCAGGCAAAAATGCCAGGAGGTCTGTGTGGATGAACAAGGGACTCCTGGCCAAACTCAAACACAAAAAGGAAGCATCTGGAAGGTGTAACCAAGGACATGTAAGTTGGGAGGAACAGAGAGACATAGTCTGAGCATCCAGGGATGAAATTATAAAAGCTACACCTCAACTGGAGTTGAAGCTGGTCAGGGATGTCAAAGGCAACAAGATCTTCTATAAGTACATAGTTGGGAAAGGCTAGGGAAAATGTGGGCCCATTGCCGAATGAGATGGGGCACGTGGTTACACAGGACATGGAAAAGGTTGAGGTACTAAATGCCGCCTTTGCCTCAGTCTTACTAGCAGCACTGGCCTTCAGGAATCCAGGTCCCAGAGCCCAGGGGAAAGTCTGGAGCAAGGACGTACCTTTGGTGGAAGACGATCAGGTCAGGGAAGACTTAAGCAAACTGAACATACATAACTCCGTGGGCCCTGTGGGATGCACCCACAAGAGCTGTGGGACCTGGCAGGTGTCACCACAAGGCCACTCTCAATAATCTTTGGTCAATCATGGTGACTGGGGGAAGTGCACAAAGACCAGAGGAAAACAAATGTCACTTCTGTTTTCAAGAACAGCAAGAAAGAGGATCCAGGGAACTAAAGGTCTGTCAGCCTCACCTTGATCCCTGGGAAGGTGATAGAGTAGCCAATCCTGGAAACCATTTCCAGGTGGTGGACACCAAGTTAAACATGAGCCAGAAACATGCCCCTTTTGGAAAGAAGGCTAGTAGTATCCAGGTTGCCAGCAGCTTGACAGAGGTGATCCTTCCCCTCTACTGGTGAGGCCACACCTGGAGTACTCTGGTTCCCCAGTACAAGAGGAACATGGACATACTGGAGAGAGTCCAGCAAAGGGCCATGAAGATGAAGGGACTGGAGCATCTCTCCTATAAGAGAAGGCCAAGAGATGTGGAACTGTTCAGCCTGGAGAAGAGAAAGCTCAATGGGGATCTCATCAATGTCTATACATACCTGAAGGAAGGGGACATAAAGGACGGAGCCAGGCTCTTGTCAGTGGTGCCCAGTGACAGGACCAGAGAAAACGGGCACAAAGTGAAACACAGGAGGTTCCCTCTGAACATCAGGAAACACTTTTTCACTGTGAAGGTGGCTGAGCACTGGCACAGGTTGCCCAAAGAGATGGTGGAGTGTCCAACCCTTCCACCCTCAGACATCCTGTCATTCTGTGAATAAAAGTTGAAGGAACACTTATTTATTGATTTGGCTTACAAAGCTTCTAATTTGGGAAGACAGGAAAGGCTTAACTACTTGGCAGCAGCACATGCCGGCTGCCAGACAAGCAAAGGCTGTTTCCTGCCCAACAAAACAGGGGCACTATCAGAAGAATTTGTTAGTACACATGGAGCAGTTTTATAGGCTAAAGGACACAAAGAAACTGAAGAGGGCTTCATTACCCCATTTCATACTGCAAGCAACACCTGTTGTGGGGAAAAATGTTATGCTCCCTTCACTTCAGCAGCATCCATCCCATATCTTGCTCCACAGGTAGCCAAAGAATTCCCCCGAATCCTACTCTGCCCCTGAAAATAAAGTGTTTAGCCACCCTTCTCCTTAGTATTCACCTAAAGCCTGTGCTTTTCCCCCTGACACTCAGACCCACATTTGCCCAACCTGTCTCTCACAATTCACCACGACCCAGGTCACAGTGTTTATTTACAGCTATCCAAAGAACACATACTGGAACCCACGTCATCACCAGGAACTGGAGATGGAGTAACCATGCTGAAGGACACCCAGAACCCATGCAGACACTAGGCAGAAAGTGAAGAAAAGCTGTACCTGAAGAGCATTTGTAACTGACTTTTAGCGTCACCTTTCCTGTAAATCTCTGCAACACACTTTCTCTTCTCTCTGACTGAACACTGGTGTTATCAAGCTGCCCTCAACCAGAGGTAGGCCCTCTCACCCAAGCTCATGGTTCAAAATCCTCAGCAACATGCAGAATCACGGATTCATGGGGGCTGGCAGGCACCATGGAGATTGTCTAGTACCTCAGACCTCATGAGAATTTGGCTGCTTTACAAGATATCCAGAAAGGATCTTTTCCTTTTGAGATCAAATCTTCAGTTTTCAGCTGGTCTCTCTAAATCTTACTAGGACTCAAGGGAGGGTTTGGCTTTTCTTTGTGGATGGCAAGCTGGTAGTGGAATTAGAGCACAAATATGCCCTTTATCTACAGGCTCACACATTACTCAGACAAAGTATTAGCCAGAAACTTTAAAAAATAAAGTTACATCCCCCGCTTGCATGAACCTAAGCTCGCTGCTTTTTTGCTGAGATGCCAGGAGTTCTTCCACATACATTCTGCAAGCACATACAGGCAGCTGATCCCTGCCAACCAAGGCTGAAATTCATCGATCCTCAGTTGAGAAACAGGATGAACCAACCTAGGAGACTTTCACTATGTGGCCTTCTCCCCACAAAACATTTTGCACTCTGCTATGCATGACAGAACTCAGCAGCTCCAATCAAAATAATTCTAGAATAAAGCAAGACCTGCAGCTGAACAGTGCTTTCTTTAATATTAGTTAAAACACTGATGTTGCCTTGTTCAAGTCTTACATGAAGGTAAGTGGCATAACACCTGGCTGATTCTTTCAAAGAGAAAATGTCTTCCTAGATTACAATAAAAAAATTAGCATTTACATTAAAAAAATAATTTTCAAGATTATCATTGTACTTTTCTGCCAACTGCCAGCTATTTTACAAATTACAGCTGCAGCCCAGAACGTAAGTTTTACCATTGTCCTTTCATAAGTATTAGTACATTTCACTTTTTTGTGTGGAGAACTTGATGCAATAAACTCTGAAACTCTTAAATAAAAAGGACAAAAACCACCAGATTTTCTCACTTCTTTAAGCTAGAGAATGTATTTCAATCTTTAAACATTCGGGATTCTGACAGCTTTATTTGCTACAACCATTTTTCTTTTACAGAACAATGTAAGATACAGTTTACATTGAGGATTGTGTAATCTGAAGGCAAAATGAACCACAAGTTAGATAATAAAAATATTTTGTCAAGATCTTCTCCTGTATCAAAAGTACTAATTGCCACTGTCAAATGTTTCTTATGCACCGGTGTCTTTTCAAGCAGGAAAAATAATCACTTTTTGCTATCTAAAAAATAACTTTGCCACACCCAAGGAAGTAAAAAACAACTTAGGAATTAAAACATTACAGCTAGACATAGAACTAAACACTACAGTTGTAGTGAACAAGCAATGCTATGTCAGAAGTTAAGCTAAAGTTTCTGTGTTTCCTTAGACCAATATGAACATAGACCCAATCAAGCACACCAGTCAGTGCTACAGGAGGTCAGCCACCAGCTGACAAGCAATACTTGCATTAGGATCAAGCCCTTCAGCTGGAAAAAATTGTCATGTTATTTAAATTGGAATCAATTTATTAAATCAAAGAAGTTATTACTGTTTGAAAGATTACAGTAGTAGGAAAGCATTCTACAAGAGATGAAGACAGCAAAAACTATGGTGGATCCAAATCTATACATTTGTCTCATTATTACAGAAAAAACTCATTTTTTGCTGCATCCTAGAAAAACAACGCTCAGGCTTTAGAAGATTCTGGTGTACATTCACAACAGCGTGCATTCATCAGGATCTCCAACAGAATCATCATCTGCTTCAAATGGAAGAGCCTGAAAGCTTCTTTTTATCATAGAGTGCTACATAAGTATCACCCTAACTAGATCTACAGGTATATGAATTTTTAAAAAAAATCTTACAAATAATTACTTAAAGTTTAAGTATGCCATGCCCTGTCGGGAAAATAGGAAGCTAAACTGAATAAATTGGAAAAAAAAACAACTGCAGCATGTCCTGCATCATAGCACGAGGTACTCAACCTATGTAAACTGGCTTTTGCATGTTGTGTAACATTGATCCTCTGAGGCCTGATTCAGTTAAAAACTAGTCTGAAGACATTATGCACTTATAGGAAGAGGTCCCGTGTAATAATTCCTTTTAGGCTGGAAGTAAAACAAAGGAAGAAAAAAAATCTCTCAAAAAAACCAATATAACACAAAACTAAACCATCCCAAAAAACAACTCTCTCTCACTGCCTCATTAGGCAGTTTATAACAGGAAGTGCTGGGAGATGGGGAAGAATAGTTTCATTCTGAGGAAGCTGTGTGACATTACTTAATACATATAACTGGGAAATTACAGTAAAAACTGTAAACAGAAAAGCCCACTGGACGAGAAAAGCCTCTGCCTTCAAGCTGAGGGCAGACAAGCCTTATCTACATTCCAGGAAAACTGTGCTTTTGTTTCAGGAGTGGAGACAACTTTCCTATTCCACATAATTCACTCAAAAAAAGCATTTTACTGTATTCTAGGAAGTCAGTAACCACTTGTGTATAGTTCCTAGCTCGTTTAACTTTTATAAACACTGTAGGAAGAGTATAGACTTCAGGAGACAGAAAAAACACTCTCACTGAAGTTGCTTCGGCTATTCTGGTAAAAATAAAAATATCTGATGCTGATGCTATATTTAGGAATCTACCTAACTTTAAACCAAGAAGTAAAAATGTAATTCTCTGGAAAACTGAACTGAAAATTGAGCAAATAGCACACTCTGTGCATTTAGATCTTGTTAAAGCACAAACACCAATAGCCTGCAACTAACAGGCACGCTTTATAATTCATTGTCAAATCAAATTATGGCTTCCAGAGCTTGAGGAGGCCATCTTCGCTGTAAGTGGAAATCAGGTTCTGGTGTGGGTGATGAGCAATGCCAATGACATCTTTTTCATGAACCTAAAGAATAAGCAGAAAGATGCATCAGGAGATTCTTCCTTTAGCAGATTCAAGCCAAATATTCTCTTCAAAAAAGAACTAGAGGAAAGCTAGACTGAGGTTCGACATGCTTTGTGCATACAGCAAAAGCAGAGGAACATATGCCTCAGTATTAAGCTCCAGCACAAACAATTTTTGTGACATAGCAGTTATTATTTGTTGGGGGAGGGAAGGTTTACATCCACTGAAATCCACAACATCTAAGTGTTCCCCATTAAACATCAACATTCAAGCTGAAATCCCTCTTTAGTTTAATTTAAGGCAAATTTAAGCCTGACAGCTTGGTCAGATTCTCCATCAGCTGGAGCCCAGGTCAAGACATGTTCTAGTTCAAATAAGTTTGAACTAGAACTCACTCTTGGCTTGAGTGGGTAAACATTTTCATAACATTTAAAATTAAAATGGCTCTAAAAAAGCCTAAAGACATTCTACAGCAAAGTATTCCGGAATGCATTTGTTACCAATCACAGCTACTAGAGGTGAAAGATTCCTTGGTATGAGACTTCTCCTTACAGATCTGTCCTTGTGGACTTCATAAATAATGAACATTTACTTCATCCTTGTGTTTACAACTCTGCAAAAGCCCAAAGCTAAGAACTTACAGTCAGAGTTCTCTCCAGCTTGCCGGTCACTGTGCTAAAGCAATAGAGCACAAAATCTTCACCAACACAGTAGATCCATTCACCACGAGGTGATAGCGCACAGCAGACAAAGTCACCACCTTCTCTCTTACCAGAGCTAAAACTTCTTACAATCTGTAAAGACATCCCCCCAAAAATATTTGGCAGGATTAAATTACAGTACATCATTACTATAATCAGAGCAAAAATATTTAGGCAGTACTAGGTTTGTTTAGAATGCAGCTGCAATCACTTTCTGCAAGTCAAGCTGTTCCATAACCTGGGTACAGAGTAGTTTGTCATGAAAGTAAACTGGAGAAATCAGGTTTAACCCAAGGCTAGGTTATTAACTAGGTTTTTGGCATTCTTAAAATGACAGAGAGACTTGAAAAGACACCAGTAAGATCACATACTTGTCCTTGCATATTCATAATGACGACTGTATTTGATCTGTTGCAAACAACAAAGTGTTCTGGGTTTTTAGGCAGCAGAATGACACCATTCACAGTAATGTCTGTCCCAGCAGTGCTGCCAAGAGATTTGAAGGTGTTTGAGCACTCCGTCGTCTTCACATTCCAAACCTAGAACAAAAAATAAATGTAAAAATGTATTAGCTTTAAGAAAATAAAACAAAAATGAGCTGATTCATGATAAAAGATTCAGAATTTTTAAAGACTGCTGAAGGGAAATATGAATTCCAGAAGCTGTAGTTTAAAGCAGATTTTAAAAAAATAAATTATCACATCTATTTTGAAGCATGGACACCACGAACAATTTCACTACAACTGAACTGAAAGTGAATTTCTATTATCCAAATTCGGCCTGCCTCCCTTTCATTAAGCATATTCCCTGCGGGGTGAGTCCAGCCTTGCTTTCTGGTTTTAGCTGGCTTCATAGCCCAGTGAATATATGTGCAGCCTCTGCACATGCAATTTGCCTTACACAAGACAGACATGAAAATCGCTGAAAAAGCAAAGCCTCACTGATATTGCTGGGAGAGACATCCCAGCTTAGAGCTGCTTCAGGCTCAATAGCACGCTGTTCTAGCTGTTTTAGAAATAGGAAATGGAACTGCTTGCTTAATTTTTAAAATAAAATGTAACTCACCATCAGTGGAATATTTT